TATATATTATTTTCATCTTTGAAAATACTTGTATATACTTGGATATAATGCAACATTTACTTTTGGCCCACAACCCTCAAATCAAGTTTAATTTTTGGCCCTTTGTATTACAAAAAATTCTGGGCACCTGTCGTTTATTCAGCTCAATTCAATTTAATGGTGATTCAATTCAGTTCAACAGTGTCGATGTTGCAAAATTAATCAAATATGATTAATCAAATTAAGCTGATTCAGCTCTAAAGCTGCTCTTTAGAAGACATTATCCATAGAGTCATTAACCACCTCAATTCAGTTCAAGTTTTCTTCTGTTTCGATTAGTTTCAGTGTTGTCAAATCAATATTACTGAAAATTGATAATAAAGTGATCATAATGAATGCACATTCATTATCTAGCAAAAGTATTTTGCATAACCTTAATAGAAACTGTTATTTGCTGCAGCGCACACTAAATTAGACGTTATTATGAACAACGTTATATAAAAAAACATGCTGTTACAAGGTCATTTTGTATGCTATGCATTGACTGTATAAGTCACCATTCAGCCTGTTTATTCAGGGTTTAGAAGCACGACTGACACACACTGCAGAGAAGAGACATCTGCTGTCCTGTTTTCATAAACATGCTTTATAAGATCCCGACACGCACCCGCCAGACGTGGGAGAGCGACTTATGGAGAGTATTATATCAGCAAACAGAAGAAGTCAAAGAAGGCTTTTAATGTTTCATATCTGGGTTTGAACAGATCTGTTGTCTCCCTTAGGGACGGCCCTGACCAAACATCCCCACAGATCGGTCAATTCAGCGGCAGCTCGCCTCAGGAGGCCGTTTCCAGCACGTCCAATCACATCCTGCTCAAGTTCCACAGCGACTTCAGCACCAGCGGATTCTTTCTTCTGCGTTACCATGGTGAGCAGAATCTTGCGCAGTTTTGCTTCCTCATTCACGACGGCTTAGTTCACTTATAGTTGTTTATTGTCAGCTCGATTATCCAGGCTTATTCCCTCCCGCCCACAGAACGTGTTACTTATGCCGTACATACGCTGAGGCGAGCCGTGAATGTACATACATTCAACCCAAACTGTGGCATGAAATTGCATTAGGAACCTTCTGGATTGTGTACCTTCGAACGCCTGTTTAACGTGTCACGTTGCTGCTTTCTGGCCCCTTGTTTTTTGTTTTACTGCAAGGGCTAGAAATTGCATTACTTGTTTCTTCAGAAAATGGCTTCGATTATTGCAGCTGCCACATTCCGATGGCGCTATAATGTGTTTGGAAACTTCCATCATCCGTAACAACAGCCATTTCTGAACGAGCAGGTGTGGAAACATATGCATTCGGCTTCTAAGGCAGCATCCTAGTAAGTGATGATTTGATATGCTCTACATAGTGTGCATCATACAAAACAGATGCACTCTTCGTATGGAGACTGAAAAAAATCGATTTGCATTTAGCATCCAACACAATACTCGAGCATAAAATGCATTGGTTTTAATTAGTAATGGCTTCAGTGTTGTCAGTGCTTTTTGGTTTTGATTGAAATGCAAGTATGTTTTTGATGTAAATACCTCCCGACTTGTCCACAATCTTGGATTTATTCCACTTTTTACCAAAGATACATGCAATGCTGCTTTAAAATGGGTCCAGTTGCAATAATCTTTGTGTATGATGCTTTGTAATTCTATCAGTGTAGGCAGATCACTAGGTTATGGAATAGCTTTTAACAGGGGAAATAGAAGCTGAACACGACGGATGACCTTTGAACCCCATCGGTTTTCTCTAATCTGTTTTGCAATTGTGATGGGAGACCGTTATTCAATAAAAGACGTTAATATCTGCGTTAGCATATTTTCTGCTGATGCTTTTGTAGTTCACCAATAAACCGATACAGCATAAAGAAGTTATGTCAAATGCTCCAAAGCTGATTAGAATTTTAAAAGATAATAAAATAAGATAGTCGTGGTCCCAGAGCTGCCAGAATGCCCATTCTCCAGTTTAAAATTGCCTTTAATGTGTTAGCGTAGTAACAGCGGAGTTTCTCAGCATTCAGAGTGTTTGTGAGTGTTCCTGTGTTTCCCCAATGATGAATTCTAAATGAAATGTGTTTTTGTTTGTTGGTGTTGGCGTTGAACAATATAGAGGTCATGTAGCTCTTCGGTAGCTGGTGAATCTTTATGATGTTAAGATACTGAGAGGGTTTGCTGGATCTTACCTATATAAAAAAGGTGCTTACATTCATTTGAAGAAACCCCTAACTCTATGTATTCATAATCTTTGCATTTGTTTATTGTGTCGGCTGTTTGCATAAATAAGCACCAATTCTTTTCTACAGAAAGTGTATAAAATAAATGATTTGTATGTAATATTGGCTATTAATCATTACAGCAAATTATTAGCTAATTAAATTGTTACATGTAAAATGAATAATATTACACTAAAAATAAATTTATTATTATTATTATTGTTATTATTAACCCCTTAACCAGGACTATAAATGTATTAATCTTTTAATTTCCATTGTGTCGGCAGGTTGCATAAACAAGCATCACTTTTTTTTTCTTAAGAAAATTAAAAAATATATTTTCCATTCTGCCATTTTCATAATATTTTATTATATATATAT